GTGAGGATATCTGATCATCTACATCCAAATACATCACTCAGCTAACACATTTGGTGGTATACAGCTAGTTGTATATAACATCATTAACCACCTAGACAGTAATCCATTCTGCTATTAAAAAAATTCTCTCGATCTATTCTAAACACTGCTAATGTATGTTCAAAGGTCTCGCAGACATCTCTCAGACCAGAACATTGAGATAACTAACATGTTTCTATTCAATTGCCACAAACTTGTCATTAGTATTTCTCTGTCTTATTGTTTGTAAAGCTTTAATAGACATGTGAAGATCAAACTCACCTCGCCGATACACCAAGCCACAAGTGTTAATGACAGCCACGGCGAATCCTGGACCTAAAAAGATGAATGTAAAAAAACAGAATCACACAGCTAGACTTTTCTGAAAACTGTTTTGCTTACGAGTAACACGCTCTAAAGAGTAAAAACCACACAAACCTCCTTGATCTGTCCAACAATAGCCAATATGAAATGGGTTCTTCCACTCCATTGCATCAGTGGAGACAAGAACCCACTAGGGACAATTCCTTAATTTTCACAGAGAATGAATCAATCACTGTTTCAATTCATAATTCATATAAAAAGGAACAAAACATCAAACACATTCCAATATTACCTATAGCTCCATGAAGAACTTCAAGAACAGCAACAGTTTGAAACACACCTGAACGAATCATAACAACAGAGATCATTTTCAGAAATCATCAATCAAACTTTGGAGTAGACTTTTAGCCAAAAGCTTGAGATAAAATCGATAAAGTACAATAAAACACGAAATGTCTACTCACTAATCAAGTATCCAGCAGAAGCGTACGCAACATTAATCGTCTTGTTCGATAAAAAGCTGTTAAGTATATTCAGAAGCGAAATCGTCCTACCGAGAACAACACAACACAAATCTGATGAAACTAAACGAAGAAAATGGCAAGAGAGTGAAAACGAGGAAGGAGAGAAAGAGTAAGATACCATGCAGAAGCTTGGAGAAAATTGTAAGTGAAGAGATAAAACTTCAAGAACGGCGACATCTCCGATTAAGATATCTCGATCTTGGTTGATCGACGGCGGCTCGAGTAGTGGTTGGTGGTTACTTCGTCTGAGTAGCATTTTTGACGGCGGATTTAAGATTCGAGTGACGTCACTACTTTGTGTGGCCATGAGTCACTCGTACAGTAGTAAGTACTTAGTAACTACATATGGACATATGGTTAGGCCAATTAAATAATTTTTATTATTATTTTAAAATCTATGACAATTTTTTATATTTTATATTACTAACTTTGAAAACCATAAAATTCTTTACAATTACAGTAATTTAGTTTAATAGAATAAAAAATGTTCAAAATCAATTATGCTTTTTTTTTTTTAGACATCTTTGGATCGACAAGGCCCGACCCATAGCTAATCCCTACTACGCGGGGTAACGCAATTTAGTGGAGTCGAACTCCGGTGGGAAGGCGGAGTCAAGTGGACTTAACCACTTGATTAAAGGCACATCCCCAATCAATTATGCGTTTCAAACATTAAATTTTGACAAACTTAAGATTTTACACTATACTGAATACTAATTAATAATTTTGGACTTAACAAACGTAAAATTTCTCTTTAGTATCCTTTCCAAACATTCGTATTACAAGATTCCAAAATATATAACAAAAGTCACCATACTACTTCTAATGATCTGATATTACAACAGAACAACCCAAATACATAAACACAAACATTAGACAGTCCAATAGAAGCCCAAGAAGAAGATAAACTCAAAAGGACGCAAGTCCGATAGTGATAAATCCAAAAAAAAACTATGACCCATAAAAAAAAACTAGTTAGGCATAAGAGATAAAAGCTAGGAAGCACGGAAGCTTCGTCGAAGGTCCGCTTCCCGCTTCGGAATCTTAGTCGGAATCGGAAGCTTTTGGAAGTTTTTGGAATCTCGCTTCCATAGCGTTTCCAAAAATTTTACTTTGGAAGCTCGTTGGAAGCTTACGATTCCATTTTGGAAGCTTGCGTTTCCATTTAAAAATTTTGATAGTCAAATATTAATACGAAACATGAAATTATTTTTTATAGTTTTTTTTACAATTAAAAGAAACCAAAACTAATTTAAAATCTAAAATTTTTGCATACTAAGTTTTTTATTTTATTTTTAAAAGATCATGCTTAGCAAAATAACCACGACATAAATTATTTATTTGGAAAATATTGGAATGAATAATTGACTTAAATAAACTTTGAGAAACTTGAATTTGATGATGTGTTATCGATAAAATGGAATTTGAAACTATTTTATTGTATGAAATTAAGAAAAGAGTTATATTAATTGATATGCATAGAAGATTCAAAAATTAAAAATCTATCCCTACTTATTTTTTAATTAGTTCTCTTTCCTTTGACCCAATTAATACCCAAACTACCCTCAGTTATTTGTGAACGCTAACAAAAATAATAACAGGATAAATCATATTGTATCACGGTAACTTTAAAAGTTATATGGTTAACTTATATTTATCGTACTAAAATATTTATCATATGATTTTATCGACTAACTTATATAATAAAATGTTTATTTATTTTAATAATATATTTATTACCACTAATTTATACATTAACAGATTTATTTATCATGATAATTTGTTTATCACAGTTAACTTATGCATTAGCATCGTTAACTTATGCATTAGCATATTTATTTATCATGATAATTTGTTTATCACGGTTAACTTATGTGTTATTGTGGACGTAAAAAATAATAAAATCTCCTTCTCTTCTCGAGTACCCTCCTTTGTCGTCATTTTCCCAAATTTTCTTCTTCTTCCATTGTCACCTGCAATTCCATCCCATGATCATCTCACCACTTTCTCTTCTTCTTCTCTCCTCCTTATTTCCTTTATCTTCGTCCTCTCCATCTTCATTTTAAATTACAAAACCATAATTTTCATCCTAAATTCTTCAAATTAAAAGTTTAATTCATCCCAAACTCGTGTAGATTCTCTCTATTTTTGTGAATTATTTGGTGATGATTGTATGTTACATATCAAAAGGATGAATTTGATGAACCAAATGAAGAGTTATATATAAAATCTGTTTGTGAAGAAAAAGAGGTGACGATGAGGAAAGAAGAAGATTTGGAAAGGGGATGATTTGGAAGAAAAACAGATAATTAGATGTAGAAAAAGGGTAAAATGGTAAAAATATCATTCTCTCTCTTATCTACTTAATTAATAAAAAAGCATGGATAGATACTTAATATTTTGGTGTTCTGAGCATAGATATTGATATTTTAGTGATCTAAAATTTTGACTTTTAACTATTTTATTTTTATTAATTGTAAAAATAAACTATTTGGTTTTTATTGTAGTTGAAGTATTTAAAATTTATGTATTAGATTTGCGTGGTTAATTATATGTTTTAATATTATATAATGTTTAATGTTTTACTATATATATAAATCAGTGTTCTAAAAAGCGGTCTAGGCGGTCGCCTAGGCCCCGACTAGGCGCTAGGCTCTCATCCGACGCCTAGATAACCGCCTTGACCGCCTAAAATTACATAGATCTTGTTTAATGTATTTTTTCAATTTCAATTAGAGTTTTATTTATATATATAGTTATAAATATTCATATATTGTTTAATATAAATATAAATAAATATTTTATCTAATTTTTATTTATAATGTCATAATTTTTAGTTTTATATAGATATTTTATATAACTTTTATATATAATATCATATTGATAATGTTTTATGTTATAAACGTCTAAACCGCCTAAAAATCGTCTAGGCCCCGATTAGGCGTTCTAGACGCTAGGCACTGGGTCACCGCCCGCTTAGCGCCTAGCGCTTTCTTGAACACTGATATAAATATATATATATATATATGAATTTCTATATACGCTTCCAACACGTACCCACTTCCTAAAATTTCTAAAAAAATCGCTTCCACGTTTCTAAACACTTCGCTTCCGCGTACCCGCTTCTGATTCCATGCAACCTAGATGTAGGCCTGGGCATATTACCCGAATCCGAATAACCAAACCGACCCCGACCCGAAAAACCCGATCCGAATCTGAACCCAAAGTTTTAAAATACCCGAACGGGTTCTAAACTTCACAACCCGAAAATCCGAACCCGAACCCGAATCCTAACCCGAACAAGTACCCGAACATACTCGAAATATAAGTACATAGTTATAATACAGTAGTAATATTTATACTTGTAAAAACTTAAGTGCCTAAATTATTTGGATGTTAAGAATTTTTGGGTGTTTTAGTTACTTTTGGCTAGATTCGGTTAAAAATACTTGGGTTTTATAGATTTTTGAGTATTTTTCAATACTTTGCAAAGAATCGAATACAAAACTTTTAATATTAGATACTTCGGGTAAACCCGAATCCGAACCCGAAATATCCGATCCGAACCCGACACGAACCCGAAGTTTTAAAATACCCGAACGGGTCTTAGTTTTCTATACCCAAAAAACCCGAACCCGAAAAACCCGACCCGAACCCGACCCGAATATCCGAACGCCCACGCCTAGGCCAGTTGGTGTAATCTAAAACCACCCAACTTTTTTTAACAAAGAATAAATTATTGATTTAAGGGTTATTTACCATTTAACACACTTTTTTTAAGTTTGTCTTTCATTTCCCTTTCTATTTGGGGTTTGTTTTTTTTTTTTTAACTTCGGTTCGGTATAGCTGGTTAGTTTTTGTTTCGGTCTATTTTCTTTAACCAGAGAAGAATCTCTGAATACCGTCACTGAACCTTCGCCTTCTACTTTTCAACACTGATGAAACGAACATAGCCACCGGAACTGGCACTCACCGGTTTATCGGATAATTTCAAAGGGGTGTATCTACGGCGCGGTGAAACGATTTACTGCGATCGGGAACGGCTGCACCGGCGCGGAGAATCAGTGCATCAGTCTTGTTTGATCCTTAGGCCTCTTCGATCGCCACCTCTATTATGTAAGTTCTGTCCAAAACACAATTCGTTTTGGTGTTCTTCTATAGGTGAACCGAAGTCTAACTGTATCCATTTTTAATGTTTTCGAGTTTGTTTATCACTGTTCAAAGTGTCTCTAGGCCAAGAGGTGGAATCAATAGTTGTCTTCAATGGCTTCCTATTTCTATTTACAAAAGAATTCGTCATTTTATCATAAGTACCTGTGCCGGATTCTACATTAACGCTACTGGTATAAAACATAAAATTGTTTCCAAGTTGTTTGATCATTCAATTTGAGTGAAACTAACACCTTACCTTACCAGAGATTTTTGGCAGTAATTTGTTTCTTGAAAATGGCTGTAGGAATCACGGATGTGTTTGAGGGTAGCTGATGCGAAGCAGATTGCTACGATGGCTCGTAGTACGTTTGACAAGTATACTTCTGTCTTGTCAAATTTCCAGCTCATTGGTTTTGTTCTTCAGAATTACACTTGAATCTTCTTTTGGCTGTACAAAAACAAGTTTATTGATGTGATCGTGAATCAGCTCAGTGGTTGTCTTCTTTAACTGCGTTTAATTCAACATTTCTGAACACATTTTTGGCACTCATATCTATGGATCATTGAGTTCTTTTTTATTATAGAATTCTGAGTTTCTTTGTTTCTACTTCCGTCTCCCTTAGGATAGGATTGTCCCGTTGTTACTTGTTAGTGGTGGCATCTAGTTGTGATACTATTTCGTTGTAAGCTCCATAAGACAACTAGCTATGGAAAATGTCTTCATTGGTCAGGTTAAGTCCACGCTCTTCCTTGAAAAATAACATTTTGTTATGGCTTTGTTGTTTTCCACGATGGTTTTAGCAGATCTTTCCCTGTGAATGATATATGAAATTGCCAAATATGGCCTCATAGTCTCTGTTTTCTTGTTGTCTTTAACTGTTTTTTTTTTTCCTTCTTTTTTGTTGTTGGTGGTTACATTACCAAATTTTGTTATTTCTCCGCTGTTTTCTTAGGTGCAACATCCAAGGTCGCATCTCGATAGATTTGATCTAGTGCTCACATCTCGTCATGATTATTTTTCTTCAACACCTGAAGGAAAGAGGCAATTTCCTTTCTTTCTCCAGTCATGGGTAAGTGAACCTCCAGGTAGAAATGTGGTATGTGTCTTTTGAAATGTTCACTAAAAGGGGTTTGATGGCAAGGCATTGTCATTCTGTTGCTAGTAACAAGCTTGGATTCTGATATCCAGTTTCTCACTACTGGTGCTCTTCATTACGCCGACGCTTCTACTCTGACAAATACTACTTTGGAATGGACGAATGCGTTTTATTTGCTGTCAAGCCTTTGGTTGAAGTTAATATATGCGAACCTCGTATTTTCTATAGTCTATTGAGCGGTATTTACAACTGCGGTTACGCTTTTTGTTAATTTGCTGTAGGGAACTGTTTGTATGGTGTTGATCTTGCTAAACAGTTGTGTGGTATGCTTCAGAGTATCCTCTGGACCTGTGGAAGCGTAAGATTATCTTTCTCAAGAAGAACACCGAAGACGGTAAGTAAAAGTCTCTTTAGAATTCACGATCATGCGGAGCGGATAGTTGTCCTGTTTTCTCGATCTTTCTACAGGTTGTAGAAATCATAACTGGAGAATTGAGCTCTAACTCAAAGTTCTACATTTGGGAAAGTGACACTTTTTGTTATTCCCAACTTGTCTGTGGCAAAGTTTGAGGCTTTCTCTTCATCCATTTCTCAGACCCTAATCCGCATTTGGGACATCTAGCTTTAGCTGATACTTTTATCATAATTGCTGACTCTAAAAGTATGCTGAGCGAGGCATGTAGAAACAGGTCGCAAACTTAAGTCTGCAGCAAAAAAAGATATGATTGTGCACACTTGATTTTAAAAAGTTTCAGCTCATTGATTTTGTTTTTAAGAATTACACTTGAATTTTCTTTTGGCTGTACGAAAACAAGTTTATTGATGTGATCCTGAATCAGCTCAGTGGTTGTATACTTTAACTGTGTTTGATTCGACATCTGTGAACATATTTTTTGGCACTTGTATTTATGATCATTGAGATCTTTTATATTATAGAATTTTGAGTTGCTTTGTTTCTACTTCCGTCTGCCTTAGGATAGGAATGTCTTTACTTGTTAGTGGCGACATCTGGTTGTGATACTATTTCGTTGTAAGCTCCATAAGAGGACAAGCTATGGAATTCTGAAATCCAGTTTCTCACTACTGGAGCTCTTCATTTCGTCAACGCTTCTACTCTGGTACATGCGTTATCACATCTTCAATTATTCATTGGTTTTTTGTTCATCAACACAGAAACTGTAATTCTTTTGTGTAACAGAAATGTTAAATGTATCAAATTAATAAGGATGTTTTCTTTTTAATATTAAGGTAGCATGTGGCATATTTGTTTGAATTGTTTAACTTTTATATTTGTGTAATCTTTTCAAACCACAAAATTTGAAGTATTAAAACTCCTACTAAAAAACCAAAAGAAAAAGAAAAGGAAGTGATGCTGTGTCTCATCTGTAAATCGAACTTTTTTACTTTTATATGAATTGAACTCAATACATTTTCTATTCTAGACACTATGAAATATACAAAAAAAGAAACATCAATACTCTAAAAAAAATAGAAAATCATAGAAAGAATGAAATGAAATAAAGAAAGTAAACTGAGTCTATCCGGAAACGACTGGGGCAGGTGGGGAGGAAACAGGGGCGTGAGCGGGAGCGGGGGCGGAAGTGAGACCGGAAACAGGGGTAGAAGCGGGCGCGAGAGGGGGAGCGGGTACGGGCTCGAGGGCGGGTGCAGAAGCGGGGGCGCGTGCAGAAGCGGGGGCGCGTGCAGAAGCGGGGGCGCGTGCAGAAGCGGGGGTGGGTGCGAGCGCGGGAGCAAGGTCTGGTGCAGCAGCAGGGGTGGGTGCGAGAACGAGAAGTGGTGCAGACACAGGAGCAGAGGCGGGTGCAGAGGCAGAGGTGGGTGTAGAAGCAGGGGTGGGTGCGAGAACGAGAGGTGGTGCAGGCGTAGGAGCAGAGGCGGGTGAGAAAACGGGAGGCGAAACGAGGTCGGAAAGAGAAGACGTGCGAGTCGACCAAAGAGACGAACGACTCGAGTACGGTGAAGGCTCCCGAGCGCCACGAAACCACGAGCGAAACTTTTAAAAAATTAAAAACAAAACAAAAAACACAAATATTAGATTTTTTTATTTATTTATTTTTAGCGGGTAAAACATATCCGAAAAACACAAATAAGTTTATTAAAAAAATAAATTATAATCTTTAAATCCGAATTTACCAAATTTTCATTCAAATAAAATAAAAATAACAATCGTTTTAAAATTAAAAAAAAAAAAAAGGTACATTAATAGTAGATCACTAGATTCGATTAGGCCCATACAATTACAGTTTGATTAGGCCCATACAATTAGTAGGAGATTACTAGATCCGATTAGGCCCATACAATTTAGAGTTTGAAAGTTTCAAATTGCGCGATTTGACCAAACTGTTTTTTATTGATCTAAAAACCCCCCAAAATTAAAAATTTGAAACGAGCGTAGCGTTCTCAGCCCTAAGTTTACAAAAATTAGAAATCTACCCAAAACAGTTTCAATTTGGCAAGAAAAACCTAATCGAAAATTCCGAATCTAAAAGCGAAATCGAAGCAGATGCTACTGATGCATATCCATGGCGAATTCAAGCAATTGATGGTTGAACGAGCAAGAAACTTAAACCAAGCATGATCATCAATTGAAAAACCTAATCGAAAATTCCGAATCTAAAAGCGAAATCGAAGCAGATGCTACTGATGCATATCCATGGCGAATTCAAGCAATTGATGGTTGAACGAGCAAGAAACTTAAACCAAGCATGATCATCAATTCATCATCGATCAGAAGAAAAAAAAAAGAAAATCGGAGGAAGAGGTTTACCGGTGGTCGCGGTTTAGCGAAGAAGGTAGGAGGCACGACGAAGAAGGCTCCTGCTTCCTCGAGCTCGTGGAGTAGCTCATGCTTATCCTTAATCTCTTGGTTCTCAACGAAAACTCCTACGAAGAGCTTCGTTGTGAACGCAGCCATGGCGCCTCCCATAACTTTGGCGACGAAGTTCCGGGGCAACGACATTGTGAGAAGAGAAATTTTGAGAGAGAGAGAGAAAGAAGAAGATTCAAGAGATTCAAGAAATTTTAACACTATCTCCCTGAAGCCAGTGATTGGTTTTGGTCTGTGCAAGTCCCTTCTATGTATGTCATTTCTTTTGACTCTCTTCAGATTAGTATGTTCTGTAAAACACCCGTTTCACTGTGACGTTTATGGAGAGTGATGATTTCTTAATAGTTTATTTCAGCTATGCCAATGGCAATTCCTCAGCTGCAAGCAGTGAGATTTGGCCAAGCGTGGCTGGGAAATCGAGGCATGACCGTTCTTTCCCTCCACAAGTTTTCCAGAGTACTCTCTTTTCCCTATTATAGACTATACAGTTATTATTTTCGGACTGGGAATTATCCTCCTAGGAAGTTTAGTTCTCTAGTCGAACTCAGGGTCATATACTTAGCTCATCGTTTGAGCTATTAGTCTATTAACGATTGGATTTTGTTAGTTCTTTGGTTTTACCCATTTGGATATATTTGATCTATTGATTAGTTGGAATAAAAAATTTCAACTTTTTTTTGCCAAGTGCTAATAAAAAAAAAAAGTCTCTAATACCTAAGGAGATGGTACACCACCAACTGATAAGAGTCTTGACTTAGGCATATATGTCTGGATTCATTTGGGAAAGCCAAATTTCATGTTGAATATATGATTTTCTGTGCTTTTTCTTCTAAGTGCTGCTTAGAATGTAATAATATCGCAAAAACAGCTCGCAAACTTAAGTCTGCAGCAAAAAAAAACAAACACAAAAGATCTTTCCATGTGACTGATATATGCAAATGCCAAATGTGGCCTCATAGTCTTTGTTTTCTTTCGATGTCTTAACTTTGCGTTTTTGGCATCCCTAGTAATGGAGTGTGCAATTGGATGTTGTGTGGTGCAGGTTTGGCAGTAACAGAAGCGGGTTTGAGAGAGTGTCAAGCTCATTTGAAAAGGTTTGTATTCTACGAATTAGTTGTGAAAACACACTTCACTCTTTCTTCAACTATTTGTATACAGGTTCAGGCTAAGAACTCCGTTGACAATCCGATGTACTATAATAGATACTTACAGTTACAGCACTTAATTTCTCAGGCTGTAGATAGTGTAGGTTTCCAGTCACATGTATCAAGCCCATCACTTAATTTCTCAGGCTGTGTAGATAGTGTAGGTTTCCAGTCTCATGTATCAAGCCCATCATCTGGAAAGGAACAAATAAAAGCCGCGTGCTCTGACCTAGAAAAAATAAGAATGATTATTCCTTTGATGCAGTTAGGATTCTAGGTACTGACACTTGAGTTTGCTAGACTGACCATAGCATACACCAATCTCAAGCACTGGTTACAAAGTGTTGGCATCAGTCTCAAAGAGTGCTTACAATATGAGAAACAAAGAATTGCAGAATGCGTTTGGCTTGGTTAAACATGTGTGGAAGACTACCAACCTCATATGGTTCACTCAGGGAGGTGGTGACATTGACTCGAGTTACAAAAGCAGCATCTTTAAAGGAAAAGACTTTTTAAAAAAGGAATTCGATTATATCAAGGCACAAGGGTGACACACTTCTGGATAGAGTTTTGTATGTTTATTCTACTTTTGGTAGAGAATAGTTGGGAAAATAGTTAAGCAATAAAAAGACTGTTGAATCATAGAAGTTCTATCAATAGCGAATTATCTCGAGTCTTACAGAGAGACAAGAATAAATCATTTATAACGTAGAGTTGGTTGATTTCATGGAAACATGTATGGAGAAATAAATATTAATTAAACCCATAGAGAAGGAAAAAAAAAAAAAACAAAGCCAAAACACCCCGATTACTGCTCTCTGATTATTCCTCTAGCCCTCAGTTGATCAAACCTCGCCTCCAAAAGCTTCTTCTCCTCTCTGATACGAGCAAGCTTATTTTCCCCTATTACTATCAGGACAGCTGAGACTGGTATTACTATCAACGATAATCGATACCAAATATCATCTTTACCATACGCTTTCACAAATCTTGCTACTGCACCCGCCATGACTGGATCTGGATCTGGATCGCTAACTGTAACACTTCTTACGAAAAGGAAAACATGTACATAAATAGTCAATCCCTAAATCGGATGATAATATGCGTACATCAAGTTTAAAACGAAGAATCTACACAATCAAACCACTAAACAGGCTGGATTTATAGTAATTGATGAGAGAGAGGGAGAGAACAAAAAAAACCTGAAGAGAGAGACCAAAGCTGTTCCAGAGAACTCAAAAGTAAATCGTGTGTTCCGTACCCTACCCGTCTTATATAGCGCAATAACATCATTCGAAGACTAGTTAACTTTGGGCCAGAAGCCCAACATATACTTCAAAGTATATCCGATCAGTCCCTCCATTATTGTCGGACTTGTTCATTGGGCCACCATTAAAAAAGTTACTATGCAATAAATAATCGTCTTTTGAATTTGATCGAGAGAGAGAATCTCCCAAATTCTTTCTTACTTGCAACCGTTTCAAACTGCCCAAATTTATATTCCACTAACACCAGACAACACAGCAGTCCTATATCACATAGATTTATGACCTGATTGGTAACAACTGTAGCTTTATATTTTTTGATGTAGAAATATGACTGTAGGTTTATTTGTTGTGGCTGTAGATTTTATTGATGTAGTATTTTGGCTGTAGAATTTAAAATTTTGGAAAGTTGAAAATTATGTGCTTTAGGAAAAAATGCCTTTTACAGCAACAAAAATGAATTAAGGAAATATTTTGGCTGTGAGAAAAAAAAAAAAGCCAAAGCTTCTAAAGCTTGATTGAATGTATTTCAAATCTTTAGAAATTTTTTTGCTTTGTAAAGACTCTAAAGCACTTGCCAATCAGGCCCTTAGGACCTGATTGGTAACAACTGTAGCTTTACATTTTTTGATGTAGAAATATGACTGTAGGTTTATTTGTTGTGGCTGTAGATTTTATTGCTGTAGTATTTTGGCTGTAGAATTTAAAATTTTGGAAAGTTAAAAATTATGTGTTTTAGGAAAAAATGCTTTCTACAGCAAAAAAAATGAATTAAGGAAATATTTTGGCTGTGAGAAAAAAAAGGAAAGCCAAAGCTTCTAAAGCTTGATTGGATGTATTTCAAATCTTTAGAATTTTTTTTGCTTTGAAAAGACTCTAAAGCACTTGCCAATCAGGCCCTATGGAAGGAGCTTTAGATGCTGTAGAAAGCCAACTTTTCTTTCTAAAGCCAAATAGCAAACCAATCATTCTTTTACTTAAAAAAAAAAGCTACAGCACACAAAATAAAAAAAAGAAATATATGGGCTTTGTAAATCAAATTTTATACAGCACACAAAAATGAGCTTTGGGATATTTTCTCTTTCTTCTCTCTACGGTTCTTTCCTTCTTCTGCTTTCTCGCTTTTTTTTTTGGTTATAACATATTTCTAATATTTATTTATTTCCAAAAATTTAAGTTTACATAATAAATACATAAAGTTACAACATACAACTAATATTTACCAATCATACTTTTATTTTAAAACTCACAGCTACAATTCTACAGCTACAGCAAGAAAATCCACAGTCTAAAATCTACAGCAAAAAATCTAGAGCTACAGCCGTAACCAATCAGGCCCTTAGTCTTTTTTTTTTTTTTTTTAACTGTAAGTTTACTCTGTTATTAATTTTTGTGGAGAGGATAGTACTCCATCGGAAGGAACGAGTGGCCAGTGTAGGGCCATAAAAGAGTCGATAAAAACAAAAAAAAAAAAAGTTTGACATACATTCCAATTCGGTTAAGGAGTTAGCTCGATTGGCCGTAAAAACCCACGATTTGTGATCTTTTTTTTCAAACACGCATGATACATCCTTATATGTTGCTGGATGGCATCCCAAAATCTGTTATCTACCGGTGTTGGTCTTGAACTGCAAATATCCGATTGCGTAATTTGCATGTAGATGCTTTGTGCAAAACGCTATCACCTTGATAATGTATTCATCTTCTCCAAGTTCAAACTACAAAAAAAACAATTAAATAACCCAAAGTTTCAAAAGTTTGGTAACTTGGTAGTCCAGTAACAGGCGATTTGGCTATCCCTGACATTAGTCGAAAAGCATTCCAAACTCGGGACAGACCGGATCAGTCGATAGGGTTTATCAAAAAAAAAAAAAGGGTTACATAAGAACATAACAAAATGAAAAAAATTGAATTGGCTAATTTGTTAATACCTAAGTGAAGTCAAAGAACCTTAGGTATCATAACTACCCTCTACTGATATGATATCTTCGTCCTGAGATAGTAGAAACTAGAAAAGAAAACAAAAGTTTAGTAAACAAAGAGAAACCCAAGAAAAAAAATGAATTAAATTAATGAAATATATCTTTTTGTGTTGTTCGCCCATGGCCGACTCCTGTGAGAGTGGATTATCGCTTCTCCTCCTCTAAAATACTCAAGTTGTAAGTAACTAATCATTTTATTGTCTATGCCGACGCTAACTGCCTTAACCTTGTCAAAAGCTCCATCATCCTAAGCAATATCAGTATCTTCTTCGAATTTTTGGATCAGACCTCCTTCAAAAACAGATTTTCTGAAATCAGTGGCTCGGATATACGCTCCAATGGCGTTGGGCACATGCGTACACCGACCATGGAAGCCGATAACCTTTACTCCATCTTTCATCAACTCAAACTTTTCAGATCCTCCCAATAGACTATAAAACGAAAACATCTGACTTCTCCCATATGATGTTTGGAACCTAAGCTTAAACAAGCGATGCGTCTTTGTTCCAGTAATGCTACACAGACTGAAACTTCCGGAAATATATGTGATATATTCATCCGGATAATCAAGATCTAAAGCCTAAGAGAAAAAAATTATTACTTTTTTCTCTTTCTTTTTGACTATTTAATTTTCAACATAATGTTATTGATATTGGTTGAAAATTATAGAAAATACAAACAATTTATATCACATATATTTATACAACAGAATTTATAGAAAAAACAAACAATTTATACAATCTAAATAAGTAACCGACCATAGAAGCCAGCAAACCTTTCTCCAACTCCCGCCAACACAAAATAGTCATATTCCCACACTACATCACGTACAACAAACGTACAACAAATGTTTGTTCCGACTATGGTATCCAGACTAAAATATTTGGTTGTTCCGACTATTGTATCCAAACTAAAATATTTGGAAATAGATGAGATGTATTCATCTTGATAAATAATAATCAAAGGTGACAAAAAAAAAAAACAAAAAAACAAAACTATTCAACTGACCAAAATATAAGAAAAAGTATGAATATTTAGAAAATATACACATTTAAAACTTATGTAGTTGGGAGGCATGGAAGTTGTCATCCATGTTGTCGTTTCACGATAACTCCGTCTTTCACATATTTAAATTTGAAGTAGGAAACTCTGGTGGCGTCTACTCTGACGATGACTTTAGTACTTTCATTGTGCAGATTATCGTCAAACTTTACTCCTATACCACCACAAAGACCACATTTTTTTTACAACATTGCTAATTTTGAAAGATTCAAAGATTCAAATAATGGTGTAAGAAATTTAGTAGAACAAGTGGTGTTTATATAGAAACAGAAACGGAATTTGCAGTATATATGCAACATGAAACAAAAAAACTACCCATTATAATGTTTACAAAATATTTTTCTTATATCTTTTGTTTTAAAATATATAAATTATAATTATTGTCTATGGTTGGCTTTAGTACAATTTTAAATTTTAAAAATGGTTAATTAATAAATTTGGTGTATTTCTTATTATAATCACCAGTTGAATTGGGTTAAAGTTTTTGGACCGATGCTAATAATGGTTAATTACGAAATTTAGTGTGTTTAATTTTATAATGGGTTTGTTACAATATTGAATGTATTATTCGATGAATTTGATAAAGTAACCACACCAAATATATACATGTTTGTGTAAGAAATTAAAAATACTTCTTTTGTTGATTTGAGCTGATTATCAATTAGGCTCCCTTCTACATGTTCAATTGACGAAAAAAAAAAATAGTTTCTCGCTTACTTTAAGCAGCCATCCTTTTCTTCTTTTTGTTTTTGTTTTTTTTCACTGAAATTTTAAACAATTTTAAGAAGAAAAAGTTGAAGTTGTAGTAGTGGTTCATATAATAAAGAAATAAAAAAGATATCTTACCATAAAGACTAAAGAGTGGGAACTGATCTTTTATTATGGATTCATTTCTTAAACAGAAACAAATCATACTCGATTTGATCAATAAGATGATAAAGTAGAGAATACATTCTTTTTACACAAAGTTGGCTTAAGCTTTACAAGTCAAACCTATTCTCTTGATTATTTAGAAAATGAATATGCCTTGTTCACTCATGCATGTTGTTACTTGCTTATTCCATTTTTCTTCATTTACTCATCATGGTTTAATAATGAATGCTCGAAGACTTTTCTCATCCATGACTTTCTGATGGATCAACATTAATTTATAACTAGTAGTATTGATCAAAAAAAAAAAAAAAAAAAAACTAGTAGTAATGATTTCTTACAAAACTTTCACAGAAACTTCAAAAGTCTATTTATTTTGGAAATAGATCGAGTTCTGACTTGTAGTATTACACAGTGTTCTTTTCACTCGCTCTACAAACTAACAAATTTGAAGGAAACAAAGGCATAGGATGATGATGACTACATATGAGATTAGTACAGTGGATTTTTTTTTTTTCTGATGTAAGTCATGGAAAACTACTACAGTCGTTTGATAACATATATATGCTGCACATATAAACATTCCAAATGAATCAAATCCTAGACTTATAGAGACGACCACGATGATCTACCATGTTCAAAACTTAGAGGAAACTGATCAATAGCAAAAGAAGACATCTTACTTTCATCTGTATCCATGTTCCATATAGATTCCAAGGAACTTTCCCATGTTGGAGAAGCCAGAGGAGGGAAATTCAAGTAACAGCTTTGCTCTGAGTAGTAGATGTCTTTTACCGGTTTAATAACGTTTGCTCCAGACTGATCAATCTCTCTCCATATGTCATCCATTGAGTAATATCCGTCTTCGCATTCTTGATTCATTTTCCCATTGGAGCCGCCAGTGTCTTGAGTAGTAGTAGTGGTCATAGATGATGAGCAGCAGTTTGAAGATGAGGAAGTTGGAGACATAGGTCGCTTCTTCTCTTGAGCCTTCTTCCTCATATGAGTCCTCCAGTAATTCTTTATCTCGTTATCCGTTCTTCCCGGTAATTTACGGGCGATTTTTGACCATCTGCATATGAAAATATCCAAAAGTTCATACAACAAACAAAAAAGGAAAGAGGATTCAAAACGATTTTAGGGTTTCTCTGTTTCGTGAAAAAATTTCTGACCTGTTTCCCCATTTGGCGTGAAGCTCAAGGACTAGACGCTCTTCTTGTGGAGTCATCTTACCACGTTTGAGACCAGGATGCAGGTAATTAACCCACCTTAACCTGCAACTCTTTCCTGTTCTGTTTAAACCTACAACCAAAACCAGGTCATTTCTTTAAATGGAAGGTCCTTTCCAAAGACCGCCCATTTTTCCAAAACAAACCTATACCTATTCTTATGTTTCTCCCTCCACCTTCAAACCTGAAACTTTCGCTACAAAATCCCATCTTCGATCTCCGAACAAGTGGACAAAGTTGACCAAGAGTATGTCCTCCTGTTCTGTCCACGGTCCTTTACGGTATTCTTCTTGCACAAGTTTCATCTCTTTCTCTTTCTCTAACTCTCTTTCTCTCTGCAATAGAAAGGTTAGTTCTCAGCTGGTTTATGGGAACCTATGGCATTCCTCTTGCCAATATTTATATAAGCCAACTTGAACAGTGTGTTGTGTCTACGCGATATAACACTCACATTATTAAAATTCTCTAATGATTTTTTTTTTTGTTTTCTAATCTTTACCGTCCATATGGGGAGAGATTATGCTGCTGATAATGTGGGGTCTATTGTTTTGTGATGCCATCAAGCCAATAGAGCATATATAAAATATGGAAATGATCGTTAATAGGGCGTTTGATGTACACTGATGTAACACTCCCATTAATTCTGCCTTTTCTTTGTCTTTTTGTGTTGCAATAAGAACACTTTCTTATATTTTTCTTTTGGCATGTCCCAATAGTTTCATTTGCACTATCTCTCGTGTCAGTAAAATATCAACAGCATCCCAATATCAAACCAGAAGAGAAAATAAGTTTCAACTATATAATCCTTAGTATCCAAACCAAAACTGTAGTTTTCTTACATGATCTCATGGTTTTAACAATATGGAAGAAACATACATAAACGTGTGTGTGTGAGAGAAGGCTCTAGAGACAATTTGTTTTTCTACTCTTTTGGTGAGTTTATGATTGCGGTGTGTCTCTTGACTTTATTAAAGGTTAATCTAAATATCACTGTAGAAGCTTATAAAGTTATAAAAGGCAACGAAAGAAGGAAAAAAGGAGAAATTTTTTATAAAGCATATGCAAAGGGGGTCGAATTGTTTTGGGTGTGTGATAAGTGGCTTTTGTATCTAGTAACAGCACTTGAGATTGAAAGTTAGATACTTAGATATTATTTTTAGGATTTTGAATTCGTTTTTAACAATAACTAAATTATTTCTTTAGATGAGAAAGGCCAATTTGATTTGGCTGGACTTTGGTTCTATTGCCTCTTGGGGCTCTGTTTTTACGAGAAAGTTTCCATCTTTTGGTCCATAATCTTTGAAGAACGATCAGCCGTTGATAATACTTGTTTTAAGATATAAGATAGAAATTTATTTATTATCATATGGTTTACTGGAATTTCATTAACCTTACATTATATATTCTCACGTGTGTAGTTTATGTGGCTTACATCTTCAAGATGCATGAATTAAAATAAAGTAGGGTAGAGAGAGTTCTGACTCTGTGTATGTACAAGTACCTGGTGTGCTGGTCCATAGAAGCAAAGAATAAAACATTTCTTCTTTTCTCAGTATATATCTCTAATTGGCAAAGAGTTCCCAAGATTCTTCAAATTGTTTTGTTCTGTGGAAAACTCTGAAAATGACCTACATGAATCTGAGAGAATTATACTTGGATTGATGGATGTTGCAAAGTCTTTATGTTGAAGCAAAAATATACCGAAACCCTTAAAAATATTCTAGTTTCAGTATATTTATTTAGTGCATTTGGAAAATAACTCAATGTGGACCCATCGGTCCAACCGTATTGAAGTTGCGGTCTGATCCTATTCTTGGCTTTGAAAAAATTAGTACTGATTTTAAACCGATCCATATAGGACTAATTCTGCCACAGCATGGCCAGGCCGGGCTAGTCATATCGATCACAGTTGTCGAATCTTTTGGATGGTTAACGGTGGACTAGCCAAAAAAAACAGACTTAACCGGGACGGGGACTAACTTAAACCGGACTAACTCAAAATTTTTATTTGAAAACATATGTCTTTTACAGCTTTTCTCATGTTTCACTAGTACATTCTGAGCTAGTCGGTTCAGAGTCTAGACAATCAAAACTGAAACATTCATATACGGATTTGATTCATTGCATCTACTCTACATGGGCGAAGAACCTTTAACTAGTCTTAACATTGAATAAGAGATTTTGGTTATCCAAAACAAACAAAATAAGTTCCTCTACTATGGTTTTTTTCAGTTGGTTTTAATTTGTTTGTTGTTTTTTTCTCCTTTAAGGTCATAAGGATTATGTGGTTGTGGTTGTAATGCTTTAAATATCATAGCTGTAATAGATTCGGGGTTCTGATTTTTTTGCCTGTTGCTTTCAGACTCTCAAATTGCCCATTGTCCAATAGCTATTATAAAATTCTACACACCACAATCCGAAAGCTACTGCATATTTGTCATATTGATCTCAGCCATCGATTAATTTAGTAGTTGGATATGATCACTTAAATTAAGCGGTAAATAATGAGTGTCAATTAGATTAATACATTTAGAACAATATGATTAGTAGATGATTCAAGCAAAAAGATTAAATATTATTCTTTTTGTTAGTTGGGTTTGGTCATCATATCCATTGTTCCTAAAATAGTTAAAACTTAATTGGTTGTTCAGAGACCGCTTAGCGCCTAAACGTCTAGACGCTAATTAGCTTTAGGATTATTATTTTTTTTTCAGTTTTAACATATTTAATTTAAAAAAATTGTATTAAGAAAATATCTTAACTGGATGTCTAGTAGACATAATTTTGTTTTTGACCTTTTCGTTAACCGGCAATTTCTAATAGATTTGGTTAAAAATATACTTTGATAAGCGTCTATGCGGCCGATTTTATAACATTTGTCATATCTAATCTTCATTAATGGAGTATATATTCTCATGAGAGTTTCAGTTGTGTAAAATTTGTTATTTTTCAAAGGTGTCTTTGTAATGGAGGACCCAAAATTCTGAAGAGATTAGAGTGAAGTAAGCAGACAGATATGAGACTGTGTAACGTGGACGCCACCACTTCCTTTATGGCCACTCCACTAAGTAAGATTTTTTCTCCTTCAATTCCTTTGGCTCGTGATTTGCGAAGGCACACGCACTTAACGATTTAAGATAAGTCCCCTTTGGTCCCACACTTACCTTTTTTCTTCTAATTACATCATAACTTCAGTATCCTATGATCTGTACTTAGTTTCAATATGTTTTGATTGCATTCCAATTGTCTCCACTCTCAATGTAAACACTCGCCATGGGGCGGATCTAGAAACATATTTCGTATGGGGCACACAAAAAAATATATATAAATTTTTTATTTTAAATATTCAATATATATACATTTTTCAATATTGTATATATTTTTTATTAGTTGAAGACAAAATTTATGAAAATAAAACTTAAAATTGACATTTGAATAAAGAAGGCCAACCAAAAAAAAAACTAGAACAGTATTTTTTGGAAAATTAATAGAAAATAAAAGGAATTAATAGGACATTTAAAGGGCTCGAACCTTGGAATGCTGGTCACTATGCAAAACTACTTAACTAATTGTGCTAGGTGACTTTCTTGAAACCTTGATACACATAAAGCATTATAAATGAGTGTGGGGCACGTGCCCCACCAACTCCTAACGTACATCCGCCACTAGCCATGCATGTCTACATGCAATTAATATAAGCCCTATATATCTTTGATTTCAATTTGCTTTAAGTAATCTTCTCAAAGATGTTCTTTGCATTGACATAATTATAAAAAACATGTTCACCAAGTGGTTTTAGCCCTAATGATTGATTCTAGTATTAATATACTTTGGTTAATTAAGATTAGTCTATGGTTTAATCATTCATGCCTACAAGTAGCAGTGTTATGTCAAGGTTCATGGTTTTCAACTCAAGTTTTACTTCTCATCACTCATCAGTTCTCACCATGCATCGTGCCGTGCGTAACCGATAGATCATCATGAGCCATAGCTCATACTAACCTCCAAAACCGGTGGAGTACTGGATATTCTTGTCATTTTAAAACGTTCACAATGACCTGTGATTGAATTGCATTGGAGTGACTCAAACCCTGATCTCGTAACTTCACGATTAGTTTTTCAACCATGGAACCATATTTATATATTTTACGTATGACTTCTCTACAGATGAGATGAGATGAGAAACCTACTTGTTAAGAGCATCATCGAAGACTCTGGATATTCTCCTGATCACTCTCTCACTTAACGTTACGCACGCCATTAGTTATGATCCATCTATGGGAATATTATTACATCAACTAAAAAATAATGCTATTACTTTAGGAAAATCAAATACAATAATATTCAGTTGTTTTTTGGTTACTTAAAGAGATAAGATTATTTATTTCTCTAAAGCGACATCTTGAAACCTTGCCAACGCTATTATGAGAGATGAGACTAATATAAAATTTATTTATGATTTTATCTTCTTCTTTTTTTTTAAATTAACTCCACTTTCACCATGAATAACTCCACCCCACACATATCAAATTATATCTTAGATAAATATCGCATTGTTTTAAATTAATATTTATCATTAGAAATGTTGTTCTCGGTTGAACCGGTGATGCAGCGTATATTTAGATAATCTCTATTATTTCCAAATATCTTTATTTAACTATTTAGATAATTTCCTTTTTTATTGTTTTTATGAATTTTCTAGGGTTTTCAGATTTATTATAAATATATAAGACCACTAAGCCTAAGGTTGTATTGAGCTTTTGATTGATGAATTAACATAGAACTTTGAGTTCCTCTTTTGAGCATCGTTGTCGATCCTCATATCTTCCTTGTTATCGGTATTCTTTGTGAATCAACGATTATCAATAACCCTCGACGAACGGCCATTCTTCGGAATCAACGATCATCGAGTCTATCGTAGCTCACGCTACACTAGTTGAACCGGTCAATCCAATATGATTTTTATAAAACCGATTTAAAGTAGGTCCTGACTTTTAAAACTTTAAAACCAAATTTTTTACCCGTCAACAACATATAGTATACAAATTTATACTGATAGCATAACGGCAATACTAATAGAAACCACTAGATAATAATTTTCGATCAAAAACAATTTTAAATTTATGGTTTTTTAGATCAACATGTGGCTGATTTCTAAACCCAACAGATGATTTACACATCGGTGAGTCTCCGATAGACGGACCTTATGATATTCCTTAAAATTGTTATGTAGACGGGATCACGCCATCGTCACTTGCCATATTAGTAATAATAATTTATTTGTTTAATGAAATAATATAATGGATAAAAAGGTGGTGTCCAATTAACCCAGTCAGGCAGTCACTAGCTTTAGCTTTCGTGATCAGGTGGAGAGATAACGCTTTCATCAGCCTTATTCTTA